ATAAATGAAAATGAGGTTGGAATCTTTTAGTTGTAGAAGGAAAATTAATCAACTAAATTATCTTATAACAAAGCAAATAAATTGATTTATACATTGCTATATACCCCTAGCCGTCTAAGTATTGATAGTAACAAAAGATATATGAATCACAAGTAATGACATCCTATAAGTTAGACTATGCTTTCCACAGAATGCCAAATGTTTAATTATTATTATAAGTATCACCATAAAAAAATAATAATTTTGGATTAAGTTTAGTATATTATACTGTGCTTTATACATCTTAAAGAAAAATTTAAATTATAAATTTATTTATTATATCTTCCAGAGAGTCAGCCTTATATGAATAGAGATCACACACGATGATAAATTAAATATATACGAATTGTAAAAAAAATTCAATTTAAATGTAAGTAAATTTATAAGATATCTAACAAATTTAATTAATATAATTATGTTTGAGAAAGTGTTATATTATAGGAATTAATAAATTAAAATATTATACATTTTGTTTTATGTAACGCGTATTCATTAAATTAATTTTTATATATTTAACTTATTCAAATTTTTAGTTTTGCTTTTCGTTTTATAACTTAACCTTTTAATTTTATATTCTAATTTATAATTGCAAAAAGGTATATAAACGAGAAATATAAATAAAGTGAACAATTTTTATTTTAGAATCAAGTGTTCCAAGAGCTCTTTTTCAGAAAGTATTTGAGGGCATATAATATTTTATCAGAAGGAGACGTTTAAATTTTATTTCCTTTTAATTAACCCTTCTTCCTTTTTTTAATATTTTATCAGAAGGAGACGTTTAAATTTTATTTTCCCTTCTTCCTTTTTTTTTAATTATTCCTTATTATAGGAAATTCTGATTTCTCAACATATTTAATTTTATTATTTATAATAATAATAATAAATAAATAAAAGTAATGCTTCCAAATAAAATCTCTACCTCGAAAATAATGGCCCCAAAAGAAAATAAAAGAAATGGTTCCCAAAAAAATAAAAATGTATTCTTGGAAGGTAATGACCACCAAAAGAAAACATGTCTCTAAGGAAAAATACAATACATATTGGCAGCTTATATTTGAACTTCTTACTCCATAAGCTAAAGATTTTCTACAGTTTCCAATTGAAAAATTGAGATATTAAGTTTGAAAAGATAAAGTTAAGTTACTAGGTAACTAATTAATATATTAGAATATATTTGTCTATCACATTTGTTTGCAATTTAGTGAGGATATTTCTAAAATAGTAAAGTATTCTATATAGAACATTAAAGAAAATGTGATTAAGGTAAGTTTAAGGGAATATCTATAACAAACTAATTATTTGAAATCTAATGTGATATTATAATGAAAAGTTTAAAATAGAACATTAAAGAAAATGTGATTAAGGTAAGTTTAAGGGAATATCTATAACAAACTAATTATTTGAAATCTAATGTGATATTATAATGAAAAGTTTAAATTTAATGCAAGAAACAAAGTATGTATAGTATATTAAGTTACCATAAGAAAAGTTATGTTGTGAACTATAGAAAAAAATTTGTGTCTACTTTAATATGATATTATAATGAAAAAGTTTAAAATTTAATGCAAGAAACTCATAATGCAAAGTTTTGTTGTGAAAATTCTATGAAAATTTGCGTCTATTATATACTTGTGGGTGGTCTAATGAAGCCAAAGAATTTAGCATATTTTCGGGTTAAATTATGAAAGTCTATTAAATATGTTTTAAAGCCAAATAAATTTCTTGGCATAACTGTCTTAAAAACAGAAACCAACATTTCAGGCTCAAGCTTTGAACGTCCATACTAAACATGACTAGTGGTATTGATGCTATCATTATGAATAGATTAATATCTTGTTATCATGTTGACATTCATACCATACATATTTAACTATAATAATTAAAAACCTTAATCTTGATGTCCATTTAATATCACAGGATCGGTGTTTTTCAAAATCATATCATAATAAAATTTTCAAATTCATATTTTTTTTTTTTAATTTAGCCAATGATTAAGAATCACTTAATCTTTATTACGTGATTGATATATGATATATAGAGCTTTTGCCATCTAGCCTTGAAAGTTCACAGAGCTAAGCTAAGTTTTCCTCATTAGCATCTAATTGGAACTAATTTAATTTGGGTGTAAAAGTAAAAATATGAGGAGCCCTCCACACGTTTGTGGGCGAGCCGAACGCACTTGTACGCACAATAGTACGAAAACTATTGTTAAAACGTCTATAGACTAATAACAAAGTGCAAAGAATATGGGTGGTGACGATATGGCGCGAGGTTCGAGTCAGTAAAAATATATTTTATTAACTAATTTCTTTTTCTTTTCTTAAGGTATATATATATTTTCTAAAATATAAATTAGAATATAAAACGAAATATAAAAAATAAAATAATATAAAAAAAAGTAAAGTTAAACCGAAAGTTATATAAATAAGGTTACGCAAAATAATAAGTAATATAAGTTGAATTACAAAAATAAAAAGTTAAGTTGAAAAGATAAATTTGAATTCATAAAATGTAATATAAAAATAAAATTAGATTACAAAAATATATAATTATAATAACGCAACATTCTCCCTCTTCTGATAATTTCATCGGAGAAGTCATAGAGAGTTTGTTGTTCTAGAAGTTTTTCCCGTTTCGATTGTATTCGGTTTCTTCTTGGTTAGCGCATAAGTCTCAAATGTTCTCGTAGGTTTGATGAAATCGTTGAACGTTATCGTTAGCTTGATATCCTTCACATTTCTCAAATTTCATAATTAATCCAGTCGAATATTGGAATTTGGAATAAATCGGAATATATAATTTGGAATAGTTGATCAAATCAAATATATGAATAATATGCACGAATAAAATTTTGAATTTTGGAACAATAAAATATGTAATAAGGAATGATAAAATATGTAATAAGGAATGATAATTTATGTAATAAGGAATGATATTTATGTAATAAGGAATAAAATTTTAATCCAGAATAAGGAATGATAAATTATAATAATTATTATATTATTTTTAAGTTAATCATAGCGTTTTAATTTTTCGCGTTTTAATAAATTTTATTTTTTCGCGTTTTAGCGTTTAATTAATTTTTGCGTTTTAGTATTTAATTTATTTTTGTTTATTTTCAATCTCCGAGGTTAAAATATGCAAATAAAATATTATTCACATTTCCCTCTCTTTAAATAAAAAATTTAAATTTAACACCCTAATTTTAGTTCAAAAAAATTCTTCATAAGATAGTTTAGAAAATGATCATCACCACATAATTTAAATATATTTTTCTAAAATGAATGTTTTTTTTACATAACTTTTTGTCTTCAAAGCTTTTAATTTCAAAAACTTTTTATCATATTAAGTATTACTTATAAGGGTTATTTGAATCAATCATGTGATTTAAAAATTACATTTTAACATATTTAAAATTAAGTTTTATCTTCTTGTTTAGGATTTTTAATATTTTTAATTATATTTAAGAATTCATCTTTAGGTTTATGTTAATTTACAACAATTGGTCATCATTCAAGAAATCAAAAAATATCAATATTATCCATTATGATTTTACATTTTAGTAATTTTAAAAATTTATAACATGCCTTTATCCTGGCATAAAATTTTAATTTATAATACTTCTTACGTGGATTAGAATAATAAGTAACCATCATTGGTCTCACAAAATAGAATTCATAACCTATCGTTCAACTTCCATATCAGTTCTTCCTAGGTTGTCACATTAGGTTAGGTGCTGGCTATTATATTCCAGTCCAACATCCAGAGCCGGGACACCATAAAGAAAGAAGCTTTTTGCATGAAAGAACGTACTAAGGTTTGATTCTTGGTCATCTCAGTAGTTTAGGTAGTCACAATAGATAAGGTAGTCATAACATCACAATAGATAAGGTAGTCATAATAGGTAGTCATCTCCATAGGTTAAGCACAAGGTAGAGTCATAATAGGTAGTCATCTCCATAGGTTAAGCAATCAACACAATAGGTAGTCATATAAATAGAGTCATCTCAATGGATTAAACAATCGTCACAATAGGTAGTCTAAATAGAGTCATCTCAATGGATTAAGCAATCATCACAATAGGTAGTCATATAAATAGAGTCATCTCAATGGATTAAACAATCGTCATAGATTAGATGGTCATCTCAGCAGATTAGGTAGTCATCTTTTTCTAGTCCACCACCCAAAGGGCACCATGCAAAGAATATGGGTGGTGACGATATGGCGCGAGGTTCGAGTCAGTAAAAATATATTTTATTAACTAATTTCTTTTTCTTTTCTTAAGGTATATATATATTTTCTAAAATATAAATTAGAATATAAAACGAAATATAAAAAATAAAATAATATAAAAAAAAGTAAAGTTAAACCGAAAGTTATATAAATAAGGTTACGCAAAATAATAAGTAATATAAGTTGAATTACAAAAATAAAAAGTTAAGTTGAAAAGATAAATTTGAATTCATAAAATGTAATATAAAAATAAAATTAGATTACAAAAATATATAATTATAATAACGCAACACAAAGAGTTTGGCAAAACAAAAGGCTATACCACAATATTACTTTAAGGGTGGGTAGAGTAGCTGATTTTTAGTTTAAATTCTATAATGAAAGTCTTAATTATTACTATCGATATTGAGATTTAATGTTCATACCAATTGCAAATAATGTTAATTTAATTTATTTTAAGAGCCTAAAAATGACATATGATTAAAATAAAATAAAATACCAGTACAAAAAAAACAATACAATCACTAACTAGATCATTGATAAACCTCCACCGGAAAACCGAACCCTCACAAAAAAGAATCAACCAATATCTTCATTTAAATCTATTAATTTTACTAAGTTTACCTAAAAGATTTAAAAACTTTAGCTGTTTTTAATACTCCATTTGGAAAAATCTTTGAATATAAATAATTAAATGAGAGTTATTTTTATGGGTCCGGTCAAAATTTTAAAGTTTTGTAACATGATAACTTTAAAAGATGCGAAATCATGTTAAGTCATCGATGCTACATTTTTCAAGCATTATCCTTTTTCGGAATTATAAATATTCGTTATATAAATTAACTCGATATTCTCATAGTGGACTGTCGGGAAATTTACTAAGTCGAAGAAAAATATCATATATATCAGAAAAATTGAATGAAAATATATTAAATAATTCAAAACAAAATTTATTGAATAAGGATGTGAAATTTATAAGTGAAAATATTATTAAAGTTTATTGTTTAATCAAGCTAAAATAATAACATTTAATTAAGTTAATTGCTAGTTATGGATCTCCAGATGTACTACCTCTAGCTAATTATTATTTTAATGCAAAAGGAAAGTCCATTCGCCCAGCAATAATTTGTATGATAGCAAGAGCATCAAATATATTGTTTAAAGAAACTACTTCACCAACTAAGTATACTTCTAAAATAATCCAATAAACTTTAAATAAAAAGTTTAAATATTGCCTAAAGCAAAACCTATATAGATTCAAATCAACTAAAAATTGCTTGTTTTGCTGAAATGATTCATACAGCATCTTTACTTCATGATGATGTTGTAGATCGAGCCAATACAAGGAGAGGTAATATAAGTGCAAATATTAAATGGGGCCAGAGAAAGGTTAATACATTTAAAACAATAATATTAAATATATTTATAGCCTGTATTAGTTGGAAATCTTATAATGGCTCTAGCTAGTCAAGAGTTAGCCAAAATTAAAAATGTACAAATTATTAACATTTTATCTATTATATTAATGGATTTGATTCATGGGGAACTAATGCAAATGGGTTCAAAACTTACAGATAATGAAAGATTTTCTCATTATCTTCAGAAGACATTTAAAAAAGCTGGTAGCCTCTTAGCAAATTCATGCAAATGTGTAATATTATTTTTAGTAATTTTAATTTGTGCTATACCAATGTTAAATATCAGATTAGGTACAACACTTATTGTTTTTGATTGTATCAACCAGGGGGTCGATCCTGGTAAAAAAATTAATTAGGTTAAGTTTGGTTTTAATGTGAAAATAATTATTGGGTTCAGTTTAGGGGAATATTTTTAAACCCAGGTTTGGTCAGGTTTAGAAATATTTAAATTGTATATTAAAAATTATATATATTTGAACCAAATTAAAAAACCAGACAAAAATTTGGTAAAATTTTTTTATCTTATAACAAAGCATAATCATGTATAAATTTAAAATTTTTTTATTTAAATATATTAGCATGATATCTTCTAAAAGTTGTTATCTCATTCTCAATCTTTGCAGTGAAAAATGAATTTCAAAGTGAAAAAGATCTTTCAACGAAACCTATATTAAATATATTTACATGAAAATATGATAAATTAACTGATTGCAGGAACACCATATAAGATTTTGGATAGAATATATAAATCAGGGTGCTGCAGCTTAGCAGACTTTTAAAAATGCAAAATATTTTCCTTTTTTAATCTTTTAAAATCATCAAATTCAGTAATTATTGTTCTACTTTTCTTTGTAATTGTTGACCCTTTTTTAAGTTTCCTGCTTTTCTTTAAGTTGTATCAATTTCTCTAAATGATCTTGTATAATAACTACTGTGAATCTATAAATTAACCAGATGTCTTTTTGTACAAATCATCATTATCACTAAGTAACATCTATTATAAAGGATTTATACTATTTATAAAATAAATTGATAATATTAAAAAATCTTATTTAAATTATTAATATTTGTATTTGCAATTATACAAATATCTTAATATATTATTTTAAATATAAAATTTACTGAACCCAATTTAACCTGGGTTCTAAAAATTTCCCAGGTTTGGTTTGGGTTTTTAAAAGTTTAGAGGTTTGAGTTTAGAAAATTTTTCAAAACCCCAGGGTTTCTGCCCTGATTCAGTTCAAACCCCTAGTATCAATCAATTTTTCAAAATTGATCTGGTATTATAATTGCTTTTGTTTATTTTTGTTGAAATTTTATGTGTTAATATAATTTTCACATCTATTAGGAAAAATTTGATTAATCATCGAGATGTTTACCATTTTCATTACAAAGTCAAGTCGGCTCAAGGGTTGTAGGAATTCTAGCGGATTTTAAGGCGCGAGATATAGCGTCATTACATTTTATATATCTAGGAAATCTACCTCTACATCGTTTGTAATGTAGAGAGTGGCGACCTTTCGAGTCGAGTCAACAGAAGTCTGACAAAGTGAGCATGAATAAGATATAATCATATCGTAATTTAGTCTGAGTTCGATAGTATGCCTTAGCTAATCGTTTGTAAGTAGTGAATCAAGATTACTTGAAAGGATAGCTTCAAAAAATTCATAACCATTATCTGATGAAGTTGAAAAGAGAAGGGAATGTTCCAGAGATTGACTTATCTATTTGAGAAATGTGATGGAGTTGTCAACCAAGGGTAAATCTCAATCTCTTTGCAATGACATCGAGGGATGATCGACTTAAGATGACTTTCAAAGATCTATGGCCTGAAGGAGTATAGGATCTGTGTGAGTCGTTAATTTGCTGATGATTAGTTCATGATAAAAGAAGATATGAAGGAACTCACGGAGAGTAGAGGAGGTGATCATATTCCTATTCCACCTGCTTAGGGGTGTAGCCTATAGCCAACATAATTCTCCAAACTTAAGATTGACTATTTGTTTTGGCCTCCGTCAATATTTTAATCTCTTGTTGGATGCGTCCGGTGTCAAGATGCTTCCTCCTGAAAACATCAAGGCATTTAGCTAGTCGCCTTCTGGTAATATTGTCGACGGGATAGTTTTTGAGTTCAAGTCGATTGGGATACCTAGGTAGGTGATCTTAGGGTCGTTGACCGATTTGGAAGTTGCGATGGTGTGACCCCATCCTTCGAGGGTGCATCTCAACGATCTGGTTGACTATTTAACATCAAATTTATTGTCTCCGTATATGAGAATATCATCGAGGTAAACGTTGTAACTTGCTTTTCTTACCGTTTTGGTGTACAGGATGATGCTTTGCAAGCAATAAGAACTGAAGAATGTTCCCATTGACAAGTCCTTGTACCGATATGATTGGCCTTGGAACCGGACTCCAAAGAATTGTCATACTCGTTGTGGTTAGTGTTGTTAATCGGCTTAGCCGAGTCGGCTCGAACAGAGCTGACCCAAATTTTGGGTCGTTTTTTTCGACTTCGACCCGAGTTCAAGCCGAAAAAAACGACCTCGACCCAAAATATGGGTCGTTTTTTTCGAACTCGACCCGAGTCCAAGCCGAAAAAAACGACCTCGACTCAAAATATGGATCGTTTTTCGACTCAGATTTGAAGTTTGGTTGTTTTTTTCGACTCAGACTTGAAGTTTATTTTTTAAGGCAAATGTGTAAAAATATATTTTGCAAACATGTTAAATTAAAATTTCAGTGAAGATGTACCATAGGAAAGTGACAATTGTCATAATCGTCATTTTGGACTTTTTTCTATTTTTTTTAGACTAATGGGTAGTAAATATATTAAATTCAAATTTCAGTGAAGATGTACCGTAGGAAAGTGACAATTGTCATAATCGTAACTTTTTTGAACTTTTTACAATTTTTTTTAGACAAATGAGTAGCAAACATGTTAAACTAAAATTTCATTGAAGATGTACCATAAGAAAGTGACAATTATCATAATCGTCATTTTTTAACTTTTTTGAATTTTTTTTAGACAAATGGGTAAAAATATATTTTGTAAACATGTTAAATTAAAATTTCAGTGAAAAATGTACCATAGGAAAGTGATAATTGTCATAATCGTCATTTTTGAACTTTTTTCAATTTTTTTTAGACAAATGGGTAAAAATATATTTTGCAAACAAATTAAAATATCAGTGAAGATGTACTATAGAAAAGTGACAATTGTCATAAACGTCATTTTTGAATTTTTTTAAGGCAAATGGGTAAAAATATATTTTGTAAACATGTTAAGTTAAAATTTCAGTGAAGATGTACCTTAGGAAAGTGACAATTGTCATAATCGTCATTTTTGAACTTTTTTGAATTTTTTTTAGACAAATGGGTAAAAATATATTTTGTAAACATGTTAAATTAAAATTTCATTGAAGATGTACCATAGGAAAGTGACAATTGCCATAATCGTCATTTTTGAACTTTTTTGAATTTTTTAAAGCAAATGGGTAAAAATATATTTTGTAAACATGTTAAATTAAAATTTCAGTGAAGATATACCATAGGAAAGTGACAATTGTCATAATCGTCATTTTTAACTTTTTCAATTTTTTTAAGGCATATATGTAAAAATATATTTTGCAAACTGTTAAATTAAAATTTCATTGAAGATGTACCATAGGAAAGTGACAATTGTCATAATCGTCATTTTTGAACTTTTTTGAATTTTTTTAAGGCAAATGGGTAAAAATATATTTTGTAAACATGTTAAATTAGAATTTCAGTGAAGATGTACTATAGAAAAGTGACAATTGTCATAATTGTCATTTTTGAACTTTTTTAAGGCAAATGGGTAAAAATATATTTTATAAACATGTTAAATTAAAATTTCATTGAAGATTACCCATTTGCCTTAAAAAAATTGAAAAAAATTCAAAAATGACGATTATAACAATTGTCACTTTTCTATGGTACATCTTCACTGAAATTTTAATTTAACATGTTTGCAAAATATATTTTTACATATATGCCTTAAAAAATAAACTTCAAGTCTGAGTCGAAAAAAACGACCCATATTTTGGGTCGAGATCGTTTTTTCGGCTTGGACTCGGGTCGAGGTCGAAAAAAACGACCCAATTTTTGGTCGAGGTTTTTCGGCTTGAACTCGGGTCGAGGTCTAAAAAACGACCCGAACTTTGAGTCGGGGTCGCGACTCGCGGCGTTTTAACAACACTAGTTGTGGTAGGGGAATGAAGAAAAAGGTCGACTTTATGTCAATTTTGCACACAAGTTTGGCCTTTTATAGTAAAAGGACATCAATGGTATCGATAGTCGGAATGGATATTGTAAGAAATATGTGGATGTCTCCGAATAGTAGCTAATGACTCTTGGAGATCCGTCGGATTTAGGGATAACTTATAGCGGCGAGCAGATTTGGTAGTTATCCGCTATTTCGATTACGTCAGCGGCCAAGAGCTGTTGGATAATCGGGGAATATCTATCGCCCGGTTCGTGGCTACGATCGTGGCGAAAATATTTTCCTTCATTTGCGTGGATTCCAGTATAGTTGAGCTGGGTCTGAATCCTCGTGAGGGGACAGCCCGCATGAAAGGTAACATCAACGGTCCCACCGTGAACTTGGTCTTTCTATATTCAGTGTGGGGACATTGTTGAGGCGCCTGCTGGGAACACACGGTCACTGCAATTGACGATGCCGGTAAAGATATTGTCCATCGTAGGAAAGGCCGTGGGACCTGCCTGGGGCGCACCAGGTTGTCACGGTGAGCGAGCTATCCAACATTTGATAGACGTGACATACCTGGCGCGAGATTCCTGAGGCAGACTAGGAAGCTCTTGAGGGGTTATCTATCCTCCATTTCTGCGAATCTTCTGACACTAAGGAAACGATGTCGGAGATAGATTCGGTTTGTCGACTGGCGTCAAATGGTAAATGATTGTCATTGTCTCCTAATACATCGGAACCTTGCTCGTCTTTAGGAGAGAACAGGCGCGTCAGTTCCCTTAGGTATCGATTCCCCTTTTAGCCAGTCTGGGAACAGACCTGTTTTTTCTCTCCATACCGGTGGGCCAATGTCTGTGGCCTGGAGGCCTTCATTTTCCCAGTAGGGTAGCCCTAAAAAGGGCTGTTCCGTAATTGGCCCTAAAAAGGACCTATGGATATTGGGGGAAGGGAGGGGGAAGGTTAGTATGAGAAGAAAAAGAAGTTGGACACTGTTCAGCGTTATTTTCTCTTTTTCACCTAATGGCGCGCGCCTCCTTTTGGATTTTGGGCCTTCTGGGGCTGGTCTCTTTTCGAGGGAGGGCAGGGCGGACCCTATTTTATTATCTTCGGCTCCCATATAGCATTCCTGGTACAAGAGATTATTTGCCTTGGCTGTCTGCTAATTCCAGTTTATGGCATGCGTTATCCTGGCCTCTCCGTAACTGCATCAAAGATTTCTATATCTGCTCCCTCGTGCATACGTTTCACGATTCTATTTATGTACTTCAGTTCGTGTCGATCCATTGAGGTCACTGATTAGGCATCTTTACAGGTTCATCAATTTACGGATTTTTTCTGGAGTAAGCGGTTCCATGATTGGGGCGTAGATGCTGTGCTTATACGGTCGTTATATAGATGCTCCGTGTTTTTGATGCCCTCTCCGGATCTTTATATAATCTTTTCTAGTCATTTTTAAAATCAAACCTTCTTAGGCCAAAATATTTCTGCTGAATATTATAAAGAATCAAATATCTAGAATGCCCCCCCCTTCCATTTATTAGATAAAATTTGAAACAAACATCTACAAATGATTTATATTTATTCCTTAAATATTATCATTATAAAAATTACATATCATGTACAATTTATAGGTATATATCATTTACAGGAAATATGAGGAATTATTTTAAAGTTGGTTACCTAATTGTGTACTTTTTTTGAATAATTTTTTTTATTCAAGAAGTATGGTGTTGTCCTATTATAACTTGGAGTAACAAAACTTTGTGCTTTACCACGTCTTTTTATCACCTTAAATAAATGATTAATTGAAAAATTAATTCAAACAATTTTACTAAAGATCGAAAAAATGAAAATAGGAAATATGATAGTGATTGAATATGATATATTGTTCTACGATACACAATTTTTAAAATTTAATTTATTTTTAATTTTTATAGATAATAATGGTGGTCAGTTAAAATATACGGCCCGGGTATATATTAAAATAAAATAGCCATTCCCATGTATTTGGGCAGGGCTTACGGCCGGACCTGCATGCCTCTGATCTATATCAATTTTTTTTCCAATGTCAATTAGATATCTCTCCTCTATGGCTATCTCTACAACAACCGTTTTATAAATCAATTATATCTGATTTGATATATAATTGTAATAGAATCATATCATAAATAACTTGTTTAATAAGTTTCGAGCTGGGCCAAGTAAAATTTAAAAAAAAATCAGAGAATGGCAAGGCCCTGCCATATTTAGCCTGGCTCTAAATATTTTATATACGAATTCTCGCGTTAAATTTTTTGTCCGCCCCGAGCATTGCATAATTCAAATTTTTTATTATATTTGGTTTGATCATATTATTATTTTTTATCAATGCATATTTATAAATTACCTAGATTTATTAAACTGTACAAACTAATATGCTATTAAAATAAAGGTTGCTCTTTTATCATTAGAAAACAAGGAATATCGAAATAATGAATCTGTGGATCGTAAACTAAATTTGTTTTACAAATTTGGAAAACATATTGGCATGGCATTTCAAATTCGTGATGATATACTTGATTTTACAGGAGATATGGATAAAACTGGCAAAAATTGTGGTAACAAGGATATAGCAATATCTGGATTAGCTAACGCACCTTTATTATTTGCCTGTGAAAAAGTATATAACTCTTACTTATATTTTATTTATCATTTATGTAGCAAATTTTGTTTGATATATTTATATTTTACAGTTTCCATACATTGAAGCAATAATTATGCGAAGATTTTCAGAACCTGGAGATGTTGAAAAAGCATTAGAAGCGATTAAAAAGGTGTTTACGATTTCATTTTTTATATTAAAATCAGCTTAAAAATTATATTCTATAATTTAATAATTATTTTTGTATTTATAATAAATCTTAATATAGAGTGACGGTTTAAAAGACACGCAAAATTTAGTCTTATTCCACGCCGGTCATGCTAAAAATATACTTGACGAACTTTTCCTGCCTTTATCTAAAACAGATTTTGATTTGTTAAATTTATATAATTCTCTTATTTCTATGTGTGATTATATTGTAACTCGAGATTGTTAACGTAAATTCCTTTTAGTAAATTAAATCATTGTTTATATTTGTAAATTTTATCAATAAAAAAATAGAAGTATATAAGGATAAGCTACATTATCAATTTATGATTCACTTTAACCACTCTTTACTTTAAGATTGTTAGACCTTTAATTAAAAGATTTGATTTGTTAAAATGAAAAGATTTGATTTACTATTTTGCATTATAGCTTGTCATTTTTTTTACTTTAACTTCCATATCTCAAAATCAGGTATAGGTCATTAGCTGAAATGTTAGATTTTTCTTAAATAATTTACAACTAAAAATATTAATAATTTTTATGCACGTATTTTTCATACAACATATTATAATAATTTGTCTTACCAACTTCAAATGATATCAGGCTTTGTTTAATTGTTTATAAAACACAAAATTTTCAAAATTCTTAGGTAAATGAAACATTTTTTAAACAAATAAAGAAAATTAAAGGCACTATGTCTACAATTCGTAAGTAATAGATTCCCTAATTCGAATATTTTAACTTTTATGTCCAGGTGGCTCAATCTAAAAAAGAGATAAAAATATGGATTCAGAATAAATTCTGATAAGGAATAATTTTTTGATGAGAATCTGAATGTAGATTCTTGTGAAGATCTAATAAGATTTATTAAAAATAAAGATAATTCTTTAAATATCCCCCAATTAAAATTTTTATTTATTAAATATAATACAACCCTCACATCCAGAATCGGCTCTTAATCGCTAAAAAATACGAATCTAGCTTATATCTTCCAGAAAATTAAAAGTAATATTGAAAATAATATTAATAGATGGTTGGGAAGCAAAAACTTGTATTTAAATTGAGCTTTTAAAAAATTGTTAAAAATGTATGAAATATTATCAAGATTACCAAAATAATTTTCTGTAAATTTATTATAGGAATCATGATATTTCTCTCATTTTTAGCAATTTTTTAAAAAATAAATGCATAAGTTTACTTCTAACATCTATTAATATTTTCAGCATTACTTTTAAAATTTTCTAGAAGATGTAAGCAAAATATTTCTTATTTTAGTTTTTAGCAATTTTTTTTAGTGATTTAGAACGAGAACCTCCAATTAAACGTAAGATTTAGCACAACAAAATCTATGTTGAGTTTCAAAATTTTAAAAACCAATTGTTAAAATTAAATAAAAAATGATTGCAAAAAAAGAAATTATCCTATGTATTATTTTTGTATATTTTTATTATCTATGATGAAAATAAATAAATAAAAGAAAATTTATATAAATTATTTAGTATTTTTTTAAGTAACGAGTAACCAGAGTTGTTAAACTCTACTTTTAAAGGTAACGCGCTACCACTATCGCCACCCATCAAAAAAAGTAGCACGCTATTATATACAATTTTTAAAAGTAGGGCAACTTTTTGTAAAAAATTTTAAAAATAAATTTGTTTTATTTTTTGGTTATAATGCAATTGTATTGTATATAATACATATAAATCAACATTTATAAATATTTAAATATAGTTAGTTTTGATTATAAAAAAATTTATGTAAAAAAAACTAATTTATATAATAAAAATAACTATTTATGGTAATATTCATTTTTTATTTATTTTGTTGCATTTTAATAATCATTTCTATACTATCATTCCCAAGTCTAGAGCGGGGGTCATAAAGTATAAGTATCGCCTTAATAATCTCTCTACACTAGCAAATTAGGGCAAAACAGTATTTAATTTTACATACATATTTTTAATATAAGAAAATCAAAGATACTAATTTGAGTATTTTTAGAATTAAAAATCGCGTTTAGAGGATTTTCTATTATATTAATATTTTAACAAAATTAACATTGAAAGTCGTTTAGGTCATCTTTGTTTGGTATGAGACTATTCAGCTATACCATAAGCCTATCACGTTGATCTTAAGCATAATCGGAATTGATATATGGCCAGTTTAGTTTAAAATTGGGATGAATCATAATTTTTATTTGGAAATACAATCCTTTTGAGGGCTAATGCTACAGATCTTCTTTTTAAGTCTTAAGAGTATTTCTCCAAATATGTTATAAAAATATTAATATCAGAATAAGTTATGAGTCCAAATATCTGCCGTGGTACATATATAGGATATCTCTGACAACTCTGCTATTAGAGCATCTTTCATCACTTCTAAGTTATATACTATCTTAATCATTAGTGTCTGGTGCCAAAAAATTGTACCAGGGGGTACAGCTATGATAAGTGATGGATTATCAACCGAGGACATTGGCTGATGTACCAATTATAAAATCGACAATTATATCAACCAGTATCTGAGAAATATTGGCCTGTGCAATATTATGTCAATTTAGCTTGAATTGAATTGGTCTTTTTGGATGTAGTCTCCCCTAAACTAAAATTATTACGATGTTTTTCTATCTCTTTAAAACTGTTGGGATGAACATTCTTATAAAATAAATACTATTAGAATTTAAAAATGACAATTGCCTTTAGATGATTTTTTAAGTTATAGCTACTAGATTTATTTTTTTTACAATTTAAACAAATAAATTTGTAACCACCGTTATTTTTTACATTAATTAGAAAATATTTTTCAAATATTGGAAATGGAAAATGTGTATTATTATTGTTATCAAGGATATTATCTTCCAGGATACCTTTCATTTCTATAATATCATCATAGTCTGACATATACATCGATTTGGATATCTATTTGCGATGTCATTTTAAATAATTTGCACCAGATGATCTAGGCTTATAATAAAAATTGAAAATACAAATTTAAATTTTAAAATTAAATATTAAATCATAAGAATTATAATAATTTATGATATTATAATTAAATTTTTATGTTTATAGTTTTCTACGTCTCTCTTAATCTCAACTTAATATCTATAATTTCTTATAGTCCAAATTTCTAACTAATTTCATATAACTATTAATTAATTTAATTACTATTTTTTAGTTTGGAACTTTTATTTTCATATTTTTAAATAAAGATCCAATAATTAAAAAAGGTGATAATTTCTGTTTTTGCAATAAAAATTATTAAGAAAAAGAATATAATTATTGACGTATATATATTAAAAAAATATTATAACTTTTATAAACTAAACAAAAACTAGTACAATAGTTATATTCATTATATTTTTAAACAATATCTAAATCGTACCAATTAACAGCATTTCGTATGTTAAAAGAAATTATTTTATTGAAATGTGAGTGAAAAAAATATGTAAAAAGTTGTAAAATACAATAATTCAGTGTTTTTGTGTCATTGCCCGATTCAGATCGATTTATAAAAACGGCCCGATTAAAATTTTGTCCAAAATAATATTCTGTAAGCTTGGATATTTTTTCTCATAGATTGTATGTAACAACATTTGGATCTGTTTGCCAAATCTCGAGGATTACATAATATTATTTTGGCTAAATTGAAATCGGGTCGTTTCCAAAAATAAACTCAAATCTGGCTTTTAACACCACTACAACAATTAGCAAAAATTTAAATACCAAATACTTATTAAATATCAGAAATAAAATGTATTACTTTACATCCTAAGCTAAAATTTAAAAGATTTTATTAATATCTTCGAACTCTTGTATATCAGTTGAGAGACTGCTGGCAAGAAAACTGCTTTAGAAATGGTTAGGTTATAGAAATTAAATTATCCCAAAAGTAATATTAAATATAGAAGCTTTTAACTATAACAGGAGGTAATATTTTAAATTCATTTAAATGAATAAATGTCAGCAATGAAAACAATGAAGAATTCTAAAATTTCAGCCAAAAATTTGGCATACTTACAAGTAAAAATATTTTTCTACTTAGATAATTTTATAGCAATTTAAAGTTTGAAATTAGCGTTTGGTGAATATTTTTTAATAATCACCTTGATATATCACGGTCACGTGTAATATGCCATTTTAGATTTCGGGTTGCTAATTCAAATCACCAGATTATATTTATCACGCTTTTGTTTTAATAAACATTATAAATATATTTTAATTTAGATATTTTATAATATTTCTATTGATAAAGATATTTTAAATTTGAAGAGTTTTATCTTATCTAAATGAATATATAATACTATTCCATCTAATAAAATTTATGACAACTGATATTGCAATACATTACGACCACGAACCCTTTGAAGATGAAGATTATGATAAGGGATCAGCTAGACTTTTTGAAAGATCAAGAATTCGAGCATTAGCTGGTAAAATTTCTTATAGCCCACGTTAACAAATATGATTAAAATGACGTGCACAAACAAATTCAAAACATTATGATTAACAGTTTTAAATAATGACCAAATTATATTATATAAAGAATGAGTAAGATAATGCTTCAGATAGAAATGTTAGTATAAAATAAAATTGGAATTTGTTGTCCAAGTTAGATTACAATTGATTTTAAACTAAGTTGTGGGGCAGTATTGGACTTGCATTGTCAATAAAAAATTACTGTTCATCAGATATTAAAATATTTCTTAATTACACTTTAATTGTAATTATTTAATAAATTTTAATGTAAAATTTGTTATTATTTTTTAATAATAAGTAATTAAATTTGATTTTCTTTTGTTCAAAAAAGGCTATGATTTTTTTGGGCAGTAAATTAATCAAGATGGGCAGTATTTATAAATTTTTAGCAATAAATTTATCAAAATTAATAGTATTCATTTATTAAATAAATAAATGGCAGTATTTATATAATATTGAGCAATAAAAAAAAATTAAGTTGAATTGTAACTAAAATTGTTTTGTACAATATTTATTTGAAGGTTGCTTAATATTTATACAAATATCTTTTCATTATTAGCTATCAAGTATATAATATGAAAATTAATATATCAAGATAAAAAAGACAGTGAATTAAATAAAATATTAAAAATGTTATTGAATTGCAGTTTTTATTGAAAATGATTTTTATATTTAAACATTTAATTAAAACTTACATGTGATTGTATAAGACTTTTAATTTACAAATATCTCTTATTATAAATTATCAAGAATTATGAAAATTTACATATTTAATATACACTACCGGCCATAAATGATTGCCCACCCTGCATTTTCTTAACATTTTTCTTAAAATAAGACAAAAAACACAATATGAGGTTTATCAAATTTATTTATAAGTTTTCATATTATTGCATAAAATTACAAAAAATAAAAGACAGCAATTAATTAAGATCAAATTTTGGTTGCATCAATATGACCACCTTTATTTTTAATAATTGCTGTACAAATTTTTGGTAATCTTTAGATGAGATTTATTAAATATTTGGAAGTGATATTGTTCCATTCTCTCTGTAATACTTCCCAAAGATGCAAATGAGAGGTTAGAGGGCTTTTTCGTGTTGATCAAAGTGATCTCATAAAAGTTTGATTGGATTGAGATCAGGAGACTAAAATGGCCAAGTCATCAATTAGAGAATAATGTGTTGTAGATTTTGTAAATAATCTCTGTATAGGATGTATACTTCGGGTCATTATCTTGTTGAAATAAAAAGTTATTCCCGATTAAACTCTTTCCTGCTGAAATCATATGGTCCTCAATGATTTGCTGGTATCCCTCGGTTGCCTTGACACCAAGGCACTATCACATCAAACAGACCCTCCCCCGAATTTGACTGTAGGAATGCAGTGATCGCTCTCAAGCTGAGCGGCAGATATATAGCCTTCTTTTAGAACAGAAGATTTCAAATTTTGACTCATCATTCCATAATATGTGGTACCAGTTGGCTGATGTCAAAAATTGATGTTTTGGTGCCCAGTCTAATTGCTTGAGTTTATTTTTGCTCAAGAGTGGCTTTTGACCGCTACCCTTAAAGTTCAAAGCTCTTAAGGTGCCTTTTCACATTTGTGACACTTATAGGGTTTTCCCGAGTCAGATTAATCTCTGCAGCTATCACTGAGACGACAAGGCGTCTATTGCATTTATTGATCCTTACTATATACTTATCATTGCTTAAAGAGGTTTTGCGGGGTCTTCCAGCCCTCTTTGGATTCGATATTGTATTATTGTTGTGTAATCTTTTATACAATCGACTGTTCATTGAGCTAGGGTTAATTCTCTCACAATTCGGCGATTACTTTTACCACTTATGTGTAAATTAATTATTTTGCATTTAGTTTATAAATTTCTTTTCTTTTAATCATTTTGGTCAAATATTCGTTAAAATTTATAAAGACTAAAAGTTTCTTTAAACAATGATTTAAAACAAAAAATATCTAGGAATTTTTTTTAAAATAATTAAAAATGGGTATTAATATGCAGATTAGAATGTGATTAATGACTTTCTTCCAAAAAACAATGGGGAACTTAAAATTGTTGTTGAAAAAACTACTGAACCCTATTTTACCAAAATTGGCCATTTTTGACATATTGTTCAAAGGCTAAAATTTCATAGAAAAATTTATAGAAATTCCGAGTTTTTTATTTCTAAATATGTCTACACATCTTAAATTAATTAATAAATTCACTTTTATCCAAATAAGTTAAAAAGTTTTAATTAGATCCAATTGCATTTGAGAAAATAATTTATAAATGTTTATATCTAATTATAATTAAAAACTTAAATATTATCGTACAAGAGCCTTTTTAGCCTTTGAAGTTCAACCTATGTGTTTTTTGTCTTTTATTCTTGGCTGCTGGGGGAGGTTTACATTATTTTAATCTTATAGCCAAACCACCAACATGCTTACAAATAGTTTATTAAAGATGGAACACAGATTTCCTTTGTTCCAATCATCTTTGACTTGAGGTAGTTTTGCAAACCATATACTTTAAAAGAACTTCAATTTATATTTTTCAAATTCATTTCATCCTGAATAATTACTTGCAATTTATTTAGCAGGGATATAGTACTCAATAGGGATGTGGACCTGGCAAAATTTTTACCCAGGTTTGGTTTGGTTTCAGTTCAGTGAAATATTTTTGAACCCGGGTTTGGTTCTAAGTTCAGCTTGGGTTTAAGAATTTTTGAATTGGTAAAAAAAATATTCTATATTCAAAACATAATTAAAAAACTAGACATAAATTTGGTATAAAAAATAAAGTTTTTTATTTTATTTATAGGCAAAATATAGTTAAAAATATAAAGCATAGTCATGTATAGATTAAAAAAAATTAATTAGCCATATTTCTTTAAATTAACAATATCCGATATAATAATTTTTACTTAGACTTGCTTTCATTATCCTCTAATTAATAATCTTTGAGAATAGGTTAAAAATTAAAAATAAATGGTGTTAAGGAATTTAATTGTTTAAAATTTATTAACAATCCAATAGGAATCTTTGAGAATAAATTTAAAAAAATTTAAAAATGGAGTAAATGAATTAAGTTGTTTAAAATTTATTAACACTTCCTTTAATTGGAAATTTGAATATATTATAAAATGTCAAGTAAATTATTAATATTTGTATTTAAAATTGTACAAATATCTTATATTAATTTAAACAATACACTGAACACAGTTGAACCTGGGTTCAAATAAAATTCCTTGGTTCGGTTTATGGTTTTAAAAATTTTATAAATGGGGTTCAGGTTCAGTTTGGGTTCAAATTTTTTCCCAAAAATCCGGGTTCAGGTTCGGTTCGAACCCCTGGTAGTCAATATAATCATCCCTTCTTGATAGAATATTTTTTTAAATTTTGCCAGTTATAACATGATGTCCAGAATTCTAAAGTAATTGTTGGATATGCCAAGGCAAAGACCATTTTTCTACCACCTCCATAGTAACAATTTTAAAATGGGATAACCTAGAGCATTCTCTAAGGGTATTTTCTTCTTTAATTACTCAATTGCTTCTGCATTGTTGGTGCTAGGTGTAGTGTTCAAAACCTTTATACCATGTGTAGTTTGAATATAGCCAGGAACTGCTGATTTCCATCTTTAATAAAGAATGTAGCTCTAGCTAGCATTTTGTTTTGAGCTAATTTTTATTTATCGATATAATCTTGATGCAAATTTAGTACTAGAAAAAAATTAAAACTCCCCAAGTGAATAAAAACCTGGAAAATTATTTATTGACTGACCAAAAATTTATAATACTTGTCAAATTATTTTAAATACTGCCTGAATCAATAAAAAACGTGAAAATTAAATATTAACTGCTAAAAAATTTAAAATATCTAACAAATGTTTTTTCTACTGCCCATTTAATTAAAATACTCCCCATTTTGATTTATCCATTTCTTAATAAACATATGCCCGAAATTTGTTCTCTTTAAAAAATAATCATATATTCTGCCATACCTCTTGACTTTTATGATATCTAGCATTTGTCCATATATTTCCCCATTATTAGGATCTTAAGGATTGAGCTCTACAAGTTCATTAATAATAGCTGATTTTTTTATAAGATCTTAAAACTACTCTTATATTTCTACAATTCAATTCAGACAATTATTTAATAAAATTTTAATGTAGAATTTGTTATTTTTAATGTTTTTTGTTTATTTTAAGTTTATTTTTCTTTTGTTTAAAAATTAATCATATTATGACATCTCTCTCTTAACTCTCATATAAATATTGAGGCATTTATCCCTCATATATTTTGCAGTAGGGAAGCTGGAATTCCCTGCCTTTCCCAAAAATAAGGAAATATAAACAATAATTTAATTATAAATAAGCTAAAGAAATTTATTGAAGTGGCTTATTGAGCGTTTTTAAAAAATATTGGATCTGTCCAATATTTAAAAAAACTGATCAGATACTATATTTTTTATTGTTTTGGGTTATTTTATGATTATATATATAATCATATATTTTATTTTTTTTATAAATAATATAATAATAAATTATTGAAAGGAATTAAAAATAGTATTTATTTATTTAATGTTAAAATTAATAGTTAAAAATTATACACTATTTTATTGTTAAATTATATGCAGCAAGAAAAAGATTTTAAAATATCTCAATCACTTTCAGCTAGTTTAAATAGCTCAATTTATTCAATTTTTAGTTTAACTCAAGATTTTGCCTTAAAGGAATAGTTAATTGATTTTGCCACAGTTGGCAGAAAGATTTGGACTACTATATGCAAAATTTTGAGGCTTGGGTAAAAAATTTTTGGCAAAAATCTTGATTTAGCCCTTTTTAAAAATCGGCTAAGTGGTTTAACAACTCTACTGGAGAATACAAAAATAAAATACACTTAATCATTCGTGAAAGTTAGTTGGTTTATTTTTTTTATGTCATTGATAC